TTAATTAGAAAGATGAGTACAATTAGGATTTTTCATTATTTAGTACTGTTTTCATATTTGACATGTGAGAACGTTGTGAAGGAAAGACAAAAAAAACATGCTTTTAACTAATTAAAAAGAGAGTATTAATAATAATATATTCATTATCACCAAATTAATATAGCATGCTTCCGTGAGAATTAATATATATGATATAGTGTAAAATATTTATTAAACTTCCCGATAACCTCTAAATTCAACTTACTATATTGATGTTTAGAAACTTTTTTCTAAAATAATGAAATTGATATTCAGACTTATTTTTTTATTAATAAAATTCATTCGGTAGAGAATCGGAACATAGAACTTTTCGAATAGTTGTTTTGAAAAATTAAAAATTCAACATACCTATTACATATTCAAGAATCATATTCCAACCTAAATACAAAGAATATTATATTAACAAAAAATATGTTCAATAAATAGAAATATATACCTATAATAAATGCCATAATTTCGCCAACACTAACATATGTGTACGTATAGGCACTGCCTGCACGTGGTGCTCGCGAACCAAATTCAGCATAGCAAACACCTGGAAAATAACATAAAATATATCATACATACATAAATAATTAATATTTACCAGCAAGAATCGATGCAATCGCTGCAATAAGAAAACTGAGAATAATCGATGGTCCGGCTGTTTCATGAGCTACTTGTCCTGTAAGAATATATGTTCCTGTACCTAATGTTGATCCAATGCCTAAATTCGTAATAAAATAAAATAATTTATTATATAATAATATAATAATTATTTATCTTACCCAAAATAGTAAGATCAAATACAGTTAAACATCGTCTTAACTGAGACGTTTGTATCGATTCATCATCATAAGTTTTCTTTCGTGTTACATTATCATAAAACTTGTGTAGAAAACTTGTCATTATTTTCGATTATCTACTTCTGTTATGAATCAATTTAGTAAGTATATCTACAATAATAAATACAAAATATCTGTTTTTTGTCGAATTACATTTTACGCATTC